GCGAGATTGGCTACCTACAAGACTTTATTTTAAAAATACTTTATGTAGGTATTGAGGATTAGTGTCAAAATGCAGATCACCAAAAGAGACCAGCTACATAATACAGACTCTCTGAACTGTAAAAATTGCAGTAGCTTCTCCTGCGGGATCAAGACAAGATAATATACTTTTAAATAAATGGATCTGGTGCCTGTTGTATAAATCGAACTCCAGAAACTACCATTGTAATTATGAATCAAGATATAAGGATATTATCTGGAAATGATATATTATGTATAACTTTGATATTAACAGCCAGATAATTAAAGGCAATTGAGAAGAGGTAGGTTTTTTTCCTGCAGGTCTAAGCAGATAACAAGGTTATTGGGAGTGTATGACTGAATCTCAACAAATGTAAATTCACTATGGATGATTATAATAAATTATGGTTACTTTTTATTGAAATGTATATATTTTAATGTATGTATGTATGTATGTATGTATGTATGTATGTATGTATGTATGTATGTAATTAATTCATATAGCCACCAATCTCCCAAGTAAATGACTCTGGACAGCATACAACAAAACTAAATATATATAGAATTGTGATATATATTATCTACATAAAAATATTATATCTGTATCTTTTAAAAAAACCATTCTTTGTAACTTCCTCTGGTATTTATTTTTTGTTTTATATTCAGTTAATAAAAACATCTGTAAAAATAAAGTTATTACCCTAAGTGTTTAAAATATGTGCATTCAAAAGTATATGTAGTATATAAAGCTCTGGTTGCCCAAATCTCTCGTGAATGAAGGCAAATATATGGCTCCCAGAATAATGCTGCAGGATCTGAATCAGTCATTGAGTCCAAGGTTTATTCTTCCAAGGTTTTGTGCTTGTGCTGGAAGTTTCCCAGTGATCAGCTCCACCATGAGTCTAAAAACTTGGAATAATTTTTTTTGGGTCCCAGTGACTGATTCAGATTGTATCCTGTATATGCAGTTATTAGCAAGATTGCTGACCAAACAGGACATTATGCTTCTATTACGTAAGTATTAATCAACCCGTTTATTTCCAGTTCACTTTTTAAAATTTGAGCCTATGTCAGGCAGCCAGTTCCTTTTGGGATCTTTGGCCTGCCACACTAATATTCTATTCTACTATGCTGTTTCATTAGTGTGGAATTGGGAGGGGGAATAGTAAAGAGTAGAATGTGATGTTGTCAAAATAAAATTCCTTCCTAGGATCCAAGATCATTCTTTATCTCTACACCTCTGCACCTGACCGGAACTGGATGGGTGGAACTGCCAGCATGGCAGTGGAAGATTGGACCATGTGATGGACTTGTGGATGTGGGGCAAGATCATGAACTTTCAACTGGGTGGGAAAAACTCAGGAAGCTCAGATTCAGGTTAATGTCGGGGTTCCAAATAACATCCAAAATTAAATCAGAGTTGAAGGCAAAGTTTTGTTCAAAGTTCCAATTTATTAAGAGAGCCATGTTGGCACATCTGGGAAAACCGAATCTGAGCTTTCTCCTCCTGTTTTTCAAAGGAACCACCTTGTAAGTTAGGTTAGGCTGATAGAGAATGACTGACCCAAAGTCACTTAGCTGGCTTTTGTGCCTAAGGCAGGTTAAAAGTAGATTTTTTTTTTTGTTCTTTCAGTCCTTCTAATGTCAATACCTATTTATTTTGCATTGGAACCTTTTAATAAATCTTATTTCCATCGTTTCAGTTTTATCCTATGGTATTTAACAATATTTAAATCTGATTAATGGATATATTTGAACACCATTTTGGTCTAGAGACTACGACTAATATTTTCTTTTGAAGGGCAATACAGAACCCCTTAAATATGGTACATTCAAATGTTTCTGGAATTATGCAGTACATTTCAAATCACCTGCTCCTAAATCAAGGTGTTTTTTTTAGCAATTATTGTTTCATACACTTATTAACATATCTTTCTGCCACAATAGTTTTCCTCTTTTATTTCCATTGCAGCTTTAGCCTAGAATTACAGCATTGGTATTTAGGCCAACAACATAAACAAAAATGTAGGTTAATTACCAGGCTGTGTGTTTCAACTGAGAATTGATTTGTGACTGCAGATGGTGACAGACATTCTCTCTGCTTCAAACTTCGTACTTAAAATGACTTGTCTTGGTTGGTGATTGATGTTAAGCTCACTGCACACTAACTATTCCACACTGCTCATTAATTAAATACAGTTTTATACATGCATGCATGCATGCATGCATGCATACATACATACATACATACATACACACATACATACAGCCAAATCATTGTCCACAATCATAGATCAGTGTGTATGTGTATGTGTATGTGTGTGTGCGTGTGCGCACACGCATGTATAAATAGGATGCTCAAAAATGTTTTAGTTCTGATAGTACCCAATACTGATTTTGTACATCTCTGCCATCATATGCCATGCTTTATTTGATTTTGAGGAGGGAGAGGGAAACTATGGTCTATCTATCCTACGGTAGCCCCTACACATGTCAATTATTTTTTATGACTGTTGTCCAATGAAGATGGGTTACCACTGTATGAGAAGGATGTAGACAAGAACATGCAACTAATTCCACTGGGAGATAAGTGGAAATCAGAAACTTCTCCATCAAGCCCAGTTTACTTGCTGGGATCAACCTATCTTCCATTAAAAATTCAGTACACCTTTTTTAAAGGAATAGACTCTGTGTCTTCACTCTGAGAGAGATTTTCTGACCTCTGAACGCAAACTTCCTAGAAGATTGTTTGGTTAGTTTTCATAATACATTTGGCCTTTGGAAGAAACCCACATATGAGCACACAATATATATTTGCACAAAAAAATGCCAGGATTGTAGTAAATTTTTTAACAGGAAAAGGCTGTTTTCTCATGTTTATAAAAAGATTACAATGCTTGCTATTCTCTGTTTTTTCAAAGCAAGATCACAGTAAAATTTTAATGTGTAGTTTCTGAAAATTATAATAAGGAAAAGCACTGACAAAAGACAACTTCATGGAGGCAGATACTTGTAAGATACTTTTTTCATAGAATCATTGACAATTCAGTTGATTACACATGCAGAAATGAAAATATATGTATTTTATATTTCAATTCCCTGGGCACTACAGAAAATAAAAAAGCTTGGGTTTGGAATCTTTATATCATGTTTGAATTACAGGAAGTACTGCACAGAATATTTTTTTAAATCTGCTTTTTAAGCTGTTATTTTAAGTTTTGATCTGGACATTGTTTTCAAAATTGCTAACTTGCTACAAAGAAAAATTTCTTTGTGTTACCTACCTGTAAAGTCATGGAGTCAATTACAAACCAATCCATCACCCTCTACATAAAGACAAACAACCTGATTTCTAACAAGCAGTTTGGTTTCGCGAAAACTTTGTCTTATAATTTGCAACTCCTACAGTGTAGAAACATTTGAATCACACAACTTGACCAGAGTAAACTAATAGATGCAATTTACATAGACTTCTGTAAAGCTTTTAATTCAGTGGTACATGACAAACTATTGTTAAAGCTAAGCTCTTACAGCATTTCTGGATTCTTGCACAAGTGGATTGCCACATTCCCTGTCAAACAGGCAACAAGTAGTCAAAATAGGGAGCGCCCTGTCAAATCTGGCACCAGTTAGCAGCAGTATCCCCCAAGGCAGCGTTTTAGGACCCACACTCTTTCTACTTTACAAAAATTACCTTTGTGATCATATTATAAGTATCCTCTTCGTCAATTACCCAAAACTATTTAACACCACCAACAATGCTGCTTCCCTACAAAACAACCTTGATCATGTGCCAGAATGGTCGCGCAATTGGCAATTCCAAATCTCAACTAACAAACGTTCTGTCTTACACATTGGCAACAAAAATATGAACACCAAATACAAACTGGGTGAATACAATCTCGTAGGCGACCCTTACTCTATTAAAGACCTAGGAGTACTCATCTCAAACGATCTTAGTCACAGAGCTCACTGTAACAGCATTGCCAAAAAGGCATTAAGAATTTCTTAATTCCCTAGCAGTTGATAAGAGCTTGTATTTAAATCTAGAAGGAGCATGTCACAAACATGATTACTCATCGTTGGCTGAACTTTGCATGATGCACTGAATACAAATTGCATTTGTTCAAATTACCCCATCTAGTCCATGATTCAGTGTGTTGGGCAAACCCAGAACAAGGGTTTATTGACTAAGCAATGTTTCTATTACATATCGGTAAACATATCATACAAACTGAGTCACTGGTAGCTTTATTCTCCATGACATTTCTGTTCATTTTTTAAAAAGCATTTAAATGGTATCTTTTGGTAAAAAAATATTTTTTAACAAAAAGCAAAATAAGTGTAACAATCCCTTACTAGACAACTTTTTTATTTTAAAACCAAAACAAAGATAAAAAAGCAAGAAATCATGTGGCTGAACATTTCAACCACATTGCCGTGTCACTGAAATCTTCTGCCTCTAGCAACAGAATGTGGCCTATAGCTAAAAAATATCTGCCTGTCTCCGCTCCACAAAGTGGAGGGGTAGAATCCATAAAGAAAGTATTTGGGCAAAATTAGTATCTAATATAAATGCATGTTCACATAAATAAGGACATGCCATGTAAGAGCATTCTATGTAATATAACTCATAGAAGGAAACATGCTGCAGCCACTAAGCTAATTCTGGTTAATTCTGCAATCCATCCACAAAAATAGAAAGAAAAAGTAGTATTACTGATCATTTCTCTAGTTTTCATTCCACTGAAAAGTGTCCTAATATAGCACTGTATTCCCAAAGCAGTGTAAAAATGCAAACAGTAATATATTTCAAGTTAGAGAGTTAAAAATACCATTTTTATTATTTTAGTATATCACATTTTCATTTAAAGTTCTTCTGCCGTTGATTTTGTAGAATTAAGAAACAAAAAACTAAGTTGATGTGTCACACTAGCTAGTTCCAAAGATTCAGTGGGGCTCATTTCCAAAACCCCTTACCTGAATTTGGCATATTCTTGTGGCCTTCTATTCCAGGTACAGTTCTGTAGTTTACCAACTATTTGCAAATAATAATCTTCAGAATATCTAAAAGAAAAAGAATTTAACACATAGCAATGAAGCAGATGGTTATATTAGCATTTTTTCTCAACATCTGATGAAATAGATATGTAGAGTTGAAAAGACAAGCTTGATAAGAAAAAAAAAAACCATGGTCTCCATGGTAAGAGAAAAAATAACCTATTGCAAAGTTTGACTTTCTTTATGTATTTTATTTATTTACATTTATAGAACTGCCCATCTCATAAGCAACTGACTCTGGACAGCATAGAACAAAATTAAAATAGAACTAAAAGCATACCCACTAGGTTACACCTATAAAACAGCTGTATTCAACCTTTTGGCTTGCCTAGGCTGCATTAAATGAATTGCATAGATTCATTTTAATGTATAAAATCGTTCCGCCCCACTGTGATTGGCCCGTACCATTCATGCCACCAGAGAAGACATGCTACAGATTTCATTAGCAGAGTTATTCCAGCTGGTGGGGTCCAGGAAGAGGCCCTTTTTTGCTGTGTGCCCCTGCCCTCTAGAACAGTGGTCTCCAACTTTGGCCACTTTAAGCCTGGAAGACTTCAACTCCCAGAATTCTGGAATTTGAAGTCCCCAGGCTTAAAGTGGCCAAAGTTGGAGACCCCTGCTCTAGAACATTTTACCTCCACTGAAAGGTTGGCACCAACCTTCTTATCTTTTCGTAGGGGGCCTAAAGATGTGGCTTTGCCAGTTGGCTTGGGACTCAGTGGAGAACAATGTTATGGAGGTGGTTGATTGAGTAATAGCAAATCACACCTCTGCTCCATTCCATCCCCATTCCACTTCCCATAGTTTTAAGATTTGATTTTAACATTTTATGTTTTAACTAAGATGTAACTGTAAGCTGCCCAGAGTTACCCTATGGTAAGATGGGTGACCTATAAAATTTATAAACAAGTAAATGAACAAACAAATGTGGCCCAAGGTTGGATATACCTGCTGTAAAACAGCAGGTACTAAGATTTTGCTAGAATGAAGGAATGTATGCTAATATTTTTAATTGATGTAAATTGAAATTTTACAGCATAACATAGGAGAAATAATGTCATAGACACAGGAATTAGACAAATAATACATTTATCATGTCTAGTAGGACATAAGAAGAACTTACAAAATAATTCGGCCAATAGATTTTAAGTATTTAGACACGACATGTTGTAAGGTACTTTGTGATGCCAGTTCTATGGCCTGAGATTTTTGCCTCTTTATTTATATATACGTACATGCAAAGTTTTAGATGCCACTTACCTGAGATCCAAGGTCTTTACAAAAAGTACTATTCAAATAAAAATACTGAATTTCCTTTAAAAACCCAAAACAATTCAAGGCAGCTCTTTCACCATTCTCAATTGCTATTTATAGATTATCCATATTTTTCTCATCCACTTGCAATACTTGTCCAAAGTGTAGCTGAGGAAATAATTTATTTATTCATACTAATTTAAAATTATGGTTCCTGTTTCACATCCAGAATAAAAGGCATATATTCTACTTTGCACATACACTACAATTCTTAATTTAAACCTCTATTTCAGAAGCAAGACTCTTTTTGAGCTAGGATTTAATATAAATGGAATTGAGTTAATTGCATATCTTAATATGATTATTCCCTTTGAATTGAATGATTTTGTCTTCCATCAGGTACCCATAGACTTCATGGTTATGCGAAAGCTTTCCCAATCAATTCTGAATGGGACATACATTTTACTGCACTAGAGAACATTCAGGTTCACAGCCTAAATTCCTTCTAAAGAAAGATCTGGAAATCCTGCCTGAAACGGATTCTGAGACAGGGATCTGTTCCTATTTTTGTGCCAAAAATATCTTCTTGTTGTTGAATCAGGTCCTTAAAACATTAATGAGAAAGACAATCTCTGTGAAGGCAACATAGGATGGCACATTGCCTTGAATTTTCATTGATTTATTTCTTGGCATCTTTCCACAAGCTTTTGTGTCCAAAGCCAGTGTTCTGAATACTTTTTTTTAAAATGAACATTTATCTTCTGAGACACATTTTCACAGAATATCACATTCATATGCAATGAGCCATCTAAAGGTTACAAAGATGGCGACAGAATAATTTGTTTTTTCCTATAATAATGCATCTTGCATAGAGAGTTTGTTCAGATGTAAAAAAAGCAAACAAATTTAATGGGCTAGGGTTCAGAATTAGTTTTCTTTAGAGTAACTAGATTGAAATCCATGGAGCTTATGTATGTTATTAGTATTAATAACTTGAAAGTCCCATATAATATATTCCAACCAAGAGGAATTTACAGTACAACCTTTCATATGTTTTCAAACTTCAATTGTTAGCATTTTAATGTCATACTCTCTAGAACAGCTGATATTTGTTTTGCTAAAAGCCTGGGTAGTGACAGATTCTTTGTCTCTGATATAAACTTCTATTTTCCTACTCAGATTCTACTATAGATTGAAAAATGAAGTCTAGTGCAATTTACTGCCAGCAATGGTTTGCACCTAGTGGTGGGTTCCGGAGCCTGTTGCAACCAGTACGGTGCAATGGAGCCGGACTTCCACATGAACGTGCGCAGCATGCACGCACATGCGTGTAGCATGTGCATGCGTGCTTACCGCCCATGACGCTCCGCAATGCCTCCACAACGCTCCAGCTGCTTGACGGGGCATCGCACAGACTCCATATACTCCGTGCATGTGCGTGGAAGCCCCGAACAGCTCAAATACAGGTAAGGAGTGCAGGCAGTTCATCCCTTAGACTTGTAATTGTACTGTAATTCAGCAGAGCTCCTATAAATTGGGGGGGATGAGAAAAACCTAGTCCAATCTGGAATAAATCATTATATGATTTAACTTTCTTCATATAACTATTCATGCAAAAATCTCTTTAGTCTATAAATGAGAACTCTAAGCAGGACAAGACTCGAAACATTTCTAGACAGAGGTGGTATTCATCAAGTTCTGACCAGTTCTGGAGAACCAGTAGCGGAAATTTTGAGTAGTTTGGAGAACCGGTAAATACCACCTCTGACTGACCAACCCCCATCTATTCTCTGCCTCCCAAGTCCCAGCTGCTCGGGAAGAAATGGGGATTTTGCACTAACCTTCCCCTGGAATGGAGAGAGAATGGAGATTTTACAGTATCCTTTCCCTGCCAAGCCCACCAAGACAGTCCACAGAACCAATAGTAAAAAGTTTTGAATCCCACCACTGCTTCTAGAGCAATTCAAATGTTGAAAAAATTGAAAGTGGGTAATTCGATTGCAATATTAAGAGAAGGAGTAGAACCTCTGAAGCCCAAATCACAATTTCTATTCCCAAACAAATTTTGTACCGTGGATTAAAATACTGCCACATCTTTTAAGTCAGTGAAAAGGCAAAACAAGTAGCAGTAATGTTTCTTATCAACTCTTTTCTTTCTGTATTCACAGCCATGTTAGAGTATGAGAATCCAGTTATTCTGCAGCTGGTAAATTGGCACATTTTAGCCATTACAGATGTCATGGCAAAGTATGCAACTTCATTTCTTTATACTTGATTCAAGGACCAAGAGAGCATACATAAATGGGACTACAGTTAAACGGGAGTTCACCATAAAAAGTGAGGGGGGGGGGCTTATACTACTTGGCACACAACAAGCTTGCGCCTCCCTCTTAAGTCTGTGGAATGTGTTTCAAATTTTGGACACATGCTTTGGATAGTTGAACAAAATGGCTGACATGAGAACTGAGTGCCAATTCTCAAAATGGTTGTCAGCTGAACTAGCTCAAAAAGATCTTCATGTCATCCTCTCATGTAAGGACTAGGTTAGTGTGTATTGAAAAAATAAGCAAACTTTAAAATCACGCAGGACAAACACTAAGAAAACCACCAACATCATATAATGAATAAATGGATATGACAAGTAATCTGGTGAGTTTAAGAAGGAAAATACAGGCTAGGGAAAAGCTTATTTAGCAATAGCAATAGCAGTTAGACTTATATACCGCTTCATAGGGCTTTCAGCCCTCTCTAAGCGGTTTACAGAGTCAGCATATCGCCCGCCCCCACAGTCTGGGTCCTCATTTCACCCACCTCGGAAGGATGGAAGGCTGAGTCAACCTTGAGCTGGTGAGATTAGAACCGTTTAACTGCAGATAACAGTCAGCTGAAGTGGCCTGCAGTACTGCACCCCTAACCTCTGCGCCACCTCGGCTCTTATTTAAACAAAATTTACATAATGTGAGATACTCAACTCGTGGAAAAAAAGGGAAGGGGATTTATGCAGTAAGTGCCAGATTTATTAAATGCATTGACAAATTTGCTCCTAAATTTTTAAAGCCTTATTCTTAAGGACAATAATATAGAAGCAGGCAGAGTAAAGTATATCATCAGTCTAGAGTCATTGAGTTCCCACACGTACTCCAAGTCCAACCTCTCCTGAATTCTGTTGATCCTCATCTGGTGCCAATTTAGTGCTGAACTTTAATCAACCAGATTCTTGTGAATAGGCTTCAATAAATCTTCTACAATAGTCCTGATTCTTTGCATCTGACAGATGCCATTCAAACTTTTCCCCCTCTGTCTTTTGTTTTATATAGAGTGAAAACATTTTCTCTATGTTTTCAATAGCTGTAGCATGTGGTTACTCTGAGTGTCAAAGAGGTAGAAAGCATCATCACTGAACTGAAGGAAAAAAATAGATCCAGAAAACCACAGACCTATCAGTCTGACCTCAATACCAGGAAAGATTCTGGAAAAGATAATCAAGCAACGAATTAATGAACACCTAGAAGTAAACAAAGTAATAGCCAAAAGCCAACATGGGTTTGTCAAAAACAGATCATGCCAGACTAATCTTATTGCATTCTTTGACAAAGTGACAAAATTAGTGGACCAGAGGAATGCCGTCGATATAGTTTACTTGGACTTCAGTAAGGCATTTGATAAGGTAGACCATAACCTACTACTAGATAAAGTAGAAGAATGTGGGTTAGACAGCATCACTACCAGATGGATTCATAACTGGCTAACCA